TCCACACACACACATCCACACACACACATCCACATACACACATCCACACACACACATCTACACACACACACATCCACATACACACACATCCACATACACACACATCCACAACAACAACAACAACCGCCATTCGCCACTAAGTGGCGGTGACGTCACCACGATGCTTGTGCCAGGCCAAGTGCACCTTGAGGCCACGTGAAGTGTCGAAAGCCCGCTGGCAGGAGGTCACGGGGCAGACCCAGCAGGTGCCACGGGTCGACTGACCGAGATGACCGAGATGACTGGCTGATGCACCACCTGTGCCCCCTACTGTGCCAACTTGCTGTGCTTTAGCCACCCGGCGCTCCGCTCGTTGTTGTGAGCGTCGCTCCTCCGCCCTCCGTTGTTGTTGGAGGGCGACTGCCTCCAACTGCCCAGTAGCGTCCTTCACGAGCCTCCTCCACTGAGGCCGATCTTGACACCGCTGGTACCAGTCATCGGCAAGTCCACTCAGCTCCACGTCCTCCTGTACCACATCACTCCATCTCTTCTCCAGCCCGTGCCGCGCCCGTCTAGCCCCCTCGATCCGGCCGAACAAAAGCTGTTTAGGCATGCGGTGGCTGGGCATGCGGGCTACATGACCCAGCCAACGCAGCCTTGCCTGCCGGAGGAGCTCACTGATGGGACTTTGCCCACACATCCACACACACACATCTACACACACACACATCCACACACACACACATCCACACACACACACATCTACACACACACATCCACATACACACACATCCACACACACACACATCTACACACACACACATCCACACACACACATCCACACACACACATCCACACACACACACATCCACACACACACATCCACACACACACACACATCCACACACACACCTGTGAACGTCACGTGAGTTGGCTCTCAGATCAAACATTCCACGTTCTCGTGCTAAGGAGACGATGGGCCGATTGGCGTGTGACATCGAGCGTGGGACTGCCTTGGGTAGGCTCAGCCTAAAGATCAATTGCTTGTGCAAATACATGTGAATGATGATGACGGTGGTGGTGGTGGTGGTGGGTGTGGATGATGATGATGACAATTCATATTTCAAAACGAGCGAATAAATTATGACAGTTAAGCTGAACAGTCAACAGCAAGCGCAAACGTGTGGCACGCCTAATCATCAATCATGCGAATTGTCACACAGACACACGCGGACACACAAAGACAAAGATTCCACCCGCCCCCCGTGTAGCCTGTTACAGACTGCCGGGGCAAGTGCTGTTAGTAGCGAGCAGTAGCCCGCTACACACCGCAGAGGGCCCAGCGTCAATCTAGGGCAGGCCCAGGAGACTGGTTGGGGCAATCGAAGCCGGTGCCGGGTGGCCGTGAGCGGGAATTGAACTCGGCTCTGTGCCTGGAACACGCGCACAGCGGCGGTGCAATCTGGGTACGCACGCACGCACACACTCCGCTCTCACGAGCACGTATTCCGCACGGAGTCTAGGCGACTACAGGGTTTGGTTATCGTGACCAGGCAAGGCCCCCGCGCGTTGAGCTGCCCGTGTCGATCTGTGCTCAGAAGCCACCTGGCCAACACAAGTGATAGCTCGGCGATAGTGGCAGATTATCATCTTCATCATCGTCATCATCGTCATCACGTGGTAATTTATAGCAGCAGGCAAATAAACGCGTGTCTCTACAGACTAAGGCACTCAGAGAGACCCACAGAGACCCATACTCATAGAGACCCATAGAGACCCACAGAGACCCATACTCATAGAGACTCATAGAGACTCACAGAGACCCATACTCATAGAGACTCATAGACCCACAGAGACCCATACTCATAGAGACTCATAGAGACCCACAGAGACCCATACTCATAGAGACTCATAGAGACCCACAGAGACCCATACGCATAGAGACTCACAGAGACCCATACTCATAGAGACTCAGAGATCCACAGAGACCCATACTCACAGAGACTCATAGAGACCCACAGAGACCCACAGAGACTCACACTAAAACTAAACTATTCTTAGTCTTACCAGGTAAGGCTCCACTTTGCTACGTAGATATTTCTTCAGAGGTGACCTCACCACCACAAATAATAGCTCAACTTAGTGGCTTAGCATCATCATCATCACGTGGACATTTACATCAGCAGCCAAACACTCTAGATGAGTGGTGACGTCGATTCTAAATGTGGAGGGGAAAAACCAGAAGACCCGGAGAAAAATCCACGTGACCACGGGGAGAGAGACGCAGACTCCAAATATACAGCAGCAGGCGTCAGGGTCGGGATGGAACCCACGACTTCCTGTACACCAGGCGAGGTAGTTAACATCTCATAGCCACTGCGGTGACTGCATGCGTTTACGTAACTAATGCGTGATTAGGAGAAACATAGACACTGATAGAGTTCCATAGAGACCCACAGAGTTCCAAAGAGACCCACAGACTCCCACAGAGACCCACAGACTCACAAAGAGACCCATAGACTCACACAGAGACCCATAGACTCACACAGAGACCCACAGACTCACACAGAGACCCACAGACTCACACAGAGACCCACAGACTCACACAGAGACACACAGACTCACACAGAGACCCACAGACTCAGAAAGAGACACAGCGACTCACACAGAGACCCAAAGTCTCATAAAGAGACCCACAGACTCACACAGAGACCCACAGACTCACACAGAGACCCACAGACTCACACAGAGACCCACAGACTCACACAGAGACCCACAGACTCACACAGAGACACACAGACTCACACAGAGACCCACAGACTCGCACAGAGACCCACAGACTCACACAGAGACCCACAGAGACCCACAGAGACCCACAGACTCACACAGAGACCCACAGACTCGCACAGAGACCCACAGACTCACATAGAGATCCATAGACTCACACAGAGACCCATAGACTCACACAGAGACCCACAGACTCACACAGAGACCCACAGACTCACACAGAGACCCACAGACTCGCACAGAGACCCATAGACTCCAACAGAGACCCACAGACTCACACAGAGACCCACAGACTCACACAGAGACCCACAGACTCACACAGAGACCCGTAGACTCACACAGAGACCCATAGACTCACACAGAGACCCACAGACTCACACAGAGACCCACAGACTCACACAGAGACCCACAGACTCACACAGAGACCCACAGACTCACACAGACCCACAGACTCACACAGAGACCCACAGACTCACACAGAGACCCACAGACTCGCACAGAGACCCACAGACTCACACAGAGACCCACAGAGACCCACAGAGACCCACAGACTCACACAGAGACCCACAGACTCGCACAGAGACCCATTGACTCACACAGAGACCCACAGACTCACACAGAGACCCACAGACTAACACAGAGACCCACAGACTCACACAGAGACCCGTAGACTCACCAGAGACCCATAGACTCACAAAGAGACTCACACAGACTCACACAGAGACCCACAGAGACCCACAGACTCACACAGAGACCCACAGACTCGCACAGAGACCCATAGACTCACAGAGACCCACAGACTCACACAGAGACCCACAGACTCACACAGAGACCCACAGACTCACACAGAGACCCGTAGACTCACACAGAGACCCATAGACTCACACAGAGACCCACAGACTCACACAGAGACCCACAGACTCACACAGAGACCCACAGACTGACACAGAGACCCACAGACTCACACAGACCCACAGACTCACACAGAGACCCACAGACTCACACAGAGACCCACAGACTCGCACAGAGACCCACAGACTCACACAGAGACCCACAGAGACCCACAGAGACCCACAGACTCACACAGAGACCCACAGACTCGCACAGAGACCCATAGACTCACACAGAGACCCACAGACTCACACAGAGACCCACAGACTCACACAGAGACCCACAGACTCACACAGAGACCCGTAGACTCACCAGAGACCCATAGACTCACAAAGAGACTCACACAGACTCACACAGAGACCCACAGAGACCCACAGAGACCCACAGACTCACACAGAGACCCACAGACTCGCACAGAGACCCATAGACTCACACAGAGACCCACAGACTCACACAGACCCATAGACTCACACAGAGACACAGACTCACATAGAGACTCACAGACTCACAAAGAAACCCACAAACTCCCACAGAGACCCACAGACTCACAAAGAGACCCAAAGACTCACACAGAGACCCACAGACTCACACAGAGACCCACAGACTCACACAGAGACCCACAGACTCACACAGAGACCCACAGACTCACACAGAGATCCACAGACTCTAACAGACTGAGAGTCGTGTTTGAACCGTGCCCTGCGGTGTGGCGAGTTGACAAGAAGCACCAACGACGCCCCGTGCACAAACACGGGGGAGCAGGAGGGGGGAGGGGGGGGGGGGGAGGAGGAGGGGGGGGAGGAGGGGGGGGAGTAGGGGGGAGGGAGGGGGAGTAGGGGGGAGGGAGGGGGAGTAGGGGGGAGGGAGGAGGAGGGGGGGGGGGAGGAGGAGGGGGGAGGAGGAGGGAGGGGGGGGAGGAGGGGGAGGAGGAGGAGGGAGGGGGGGGAGGAGGGGGGAGGAGGAGGGGGGAGAGGAAAGGAGGAGGGGGGAGGAGGAGGGAGGGGGGGGAGGAGGGGGGAGGGGGGGGAGGAGGGGGGAGGAGGAGGGGGGAGAGGGGAGGAGGAGGGGGGAGGAGGAGGGAGGGGGGGGAGGAGGGGGGAGGAGGAGGAGGAGGGAGGGGGGAGGAGGAGGAGGGGGGGAGGGGGAGGAGGGAGGAGGAGGGGGAGGGAGGGGGGAGGAGGATGGGTGCTGTTTGTTGCTGGTCCATTCGGTGCTCTTGGTCTTTGGGCCGACAGCTCAACGGCAACCGTGGGTTGGTTGGTGAACCAAGACGCAACAACAACAACAAAACAACAATAACAACGACAACAACAACAACAACGGCGGCAATACTTCACCATTACCTGTCTCTTCTTGCAGCCACGTCTCGTGACAGGAAGTCATCAAGCTCAGCAGCCATTTCTGTTGTCCCACAATGCACTGCCAAGTGGGGTCGCCCGGCGAACGGAGATCAGCCAAGTATCTAAATTGAACAACAACAATATACAACAATATACAACAACCAACAACAACAATATACAACAACAAACAATTGTTGTGTGCGAGTCTATGGATCTCTGTGTGAGTCTATGGGTCTCTGTGTGAGTCTATGTGCCTCTGTGTGAGTCTATGGGTCTCTGTGTGAGTCTATGTGTCTATGTGTGAGTCTATGGGTCTCTGTTCGAGTCTATGTGTCTCTGTGTGAGTCTATGGGTCTCTGTAAGAGGTTTTTGGGTTAGATCGTGAAAATATATAAATGTGTCGTCGTTAAACCCGCCACCACCCGACACAGCCAACTAGTAAGGGTTGTCACGTAAACAGAACGTGGCCAATTCGTAAAAATTATTTTTATTTCTTTCAATTTTGATAGATTCTCTAATTAGTCTTGGCCAGTAGCAGCTAGATTTGCACAGAACTTCAACATTATCAAAATCAAATGAGCGTCCTTGTTGGCACGCGTGTTCTGCTATACTGCTGACAGTTGTGTTTGGGAGAATTTAATATTTCTCTGATGTCCTTTTAGTCTCGTGCTGATCATTCGTCCTGTTTTCCCACCATAACATTTGCCACACGTGCAGTTAATCCTGTACATGCCTTCTGTTGATGGCTTCGGTAACACATCTTTTGTACCAGATATTAATTCCTGTATTTTACGTACCGTGCCAAATCTGACTCGGGATGTTTTGTTTCTCTAAACATCTGGTTAGTTTATCAGCTACTCCCGCAATGTACGGTATTTTGATCGTGTTAATTCCATGGGCAGTTTAAACGCTCGTGTCATGAACATGTTGGATTTCACTGCTCGGACTGTCACCATCTAACACTTTCTTAGCTCGATGAAATGAGTGTCCTTGATGAGAGCAGATCTCTGTGCGGGGTGATGGTGGTGTCACTCTGCATTCAGAAAGGCGTCAGTGTGCGTTTTGTTTCGGTAAACGCTGCATGTTATTCTACTATTTCTACCCCGTCCCAGTAGCATATCCAGAAATGGTTGAGTTCTGTCAGCTGTTGTTGTTGTTATTAGTTATTGTTGTTGTTTTTGTTGTTGTGGTGGTAGCAGTTGTTGTTGTGGTGGCAGTTGTTGGTTGTTGTTGTTGTGGTGGTGGCAGTTGTTGTTGTTAGTAGTTGTTGGTTGTTGTGGTGGTGCCAGTTGTTGTTGGTGGTTGTTGTTGTGGTGGCAGTTGTTGTTGGTTGTTGTTGTGGTGGCAGTTGTTGTTGTTGGTTGTTGTTGTTGTGGTAGTGGCAGTTGTTGTTGTGGTGGCAGTTGTTGTGGTTGGTTGTTGTGGTGGTTGCAGTTGTTGTTGTGGTGGTGGTGGCAGTTGTTGTTGTTGTTGTGGTGGTGGCGGTGGCAGTTGTTGTTGTTGTGGTGGTGGCAGTTGTTGTTGTTGGTTGTGGTGGTGGTGGCAGTTGTTGTTGTTGTGGTGGCAGTTGTTGTTGTTGGTTGTTGTTGTTGTGGTGGTGGTGGTACCGGATGTATCGCTTCTGGTCGTGCAGCGTGGCCGGGGTCTCCAGGAGTTTTCCCAGCAGGAGTTTGCGGAGCCCTTCGATTCGCACCTCCACGTCCGCATAGACTGCACGCACACCGCACCGTCAACATCATCATCAGCAGCAGCAGCAGCAGCTGCATCAGCAGGACATCAGCAGCAGAATCATCTTCATCAAAATCACCAGAATCATCAGCATCATCAGCAGCAGCAACAGCAGCATCAGCAGCAGCATCATCAGCATCACCATCAGCAGCAGAATCATCTTCATCAAAATCACCAGAATCATCAGCATCATCAGCAGCAGCAACAGCAGCATCAGCATCATCAGCAGCAGCAACAGCAGCATCAGCATCATCAGCATGATCATCATCAGCAGCATCACCATCAGCAGCAGAATCATCTTCATCAGAATCATCAGAATCATCAGCATCATCAGCAGCAGCAGCATCAGCATCATCAGCAGCAGCAACAGAATCATCATCGGTAGCAGCATCAACATCACAACCGTCATCATCATCAGCAGTAGAATCATCATTAGCAGCAGTATCAACATCACAACCGTCATCATCATCAGCAGTAGAATCATCATCAGCAGCAGTATCAACATCACAACCATCATCATCAGCAGCAGCAGAATCATCATCAGCAGCAGCATCAACATCACAACCGTAATCATTATCGGCAGCAGTGGAATCAACACAACATCATCATCAGCAGCAGCAGAATCATCATCAGCGGCATTAACACTACAACCATCATCATCAGCGTCACTCCGGTCACTGATGTTCCAGCCACCTCCTTGTCACTCTTGTAGTGCTACTACCACCACTACCACCATTAGTACCACCGGCACCTCCACTACCACCACCACTAGTAC